CAACCGCAAGGATCCGATCGCAGTGTGCACCCCTGGACCTCAACCGCCAGGATCCGATCGCAGTGTGCACCGCTGGACCTCCCACAAACACACAACCCCAAACACAATCACAAACACACAACTACAAACACAACTACAAAGACACAACCACAAGCACACAACCACAAACACAACCAGAAACACAACCACAAACACACAATCACAAACACACGACCACAAACGCGCAACCACAAACACACAACCACAAACAAACACAATCACAAACCCACAATCACAAACACAATCACAAACACACAACTACAAACACAACTACAAAGACACAATCACAAACACATAACCACAAACACAAAGCCACAAACACACAACCACAACCACAAACACACAACCACAACCACAAGTACAAACACACAATCACAAAGACACAACCACAACCACAACCACAACTACAAACACATAATCACAAAGACACAACCACAACCACAACTACAAACACATAACCACAACCACTACCACTACCACAAACACAACCACAAACACATCCAAAAAACACACAACCACAAACACAACTACAAACACACAATCACAAAGACACAACCACAACCACAACTACAAACACACAATCACAAAGACACAACCGCAACCACAACCACAACTACAAACACACAATCACAACCACTACCACAACCACTACCACAACCACAAACACACAACCACAAACACACAACCACAAACACACAACCACAAACACACAACCACAACCACAACACAGCACACAACCACAGCACACAACCCGAGGACCCACAAGCAACATCGAGAACTACAATACTAACGACTATGGCAACATGCTCCTCACTATGGCATCAGGACAAATGATTGAAATGTCATGGTGGGGATCACTCGAAGTAAAGTATTTTTTTGGGGTGTCGGTTGAAGAACCCTTTAAAAAATCCAGTCAGTCGGGTCCTTTTCACAGGTCACTTACAGTGGTTTCAGGAGTAGATGGCACAGACCCCAAGATGTCTTGTATATAGGGGTCCATATAAGCCACCTTTTGGGGATCGTGCCATCTACTCTCAGCCCACTATAATCCTTGTTGTCACTTCAAGCGGATCACATCTGCGACGGCCTCGCGTCTACGGTCCACGACCTCTGAGGCCACGCAAGCGGCGGCGCTTCTGAGAGGCAGACGTGAACCCGCTCCGGGTCATTCCCAACCCAGACCAGCCATTGGGACTGGGATAGTTATATTACCTACGTTAGGTTCATAAACCTGGACCCGAACACAGGGGTGCTTGTAAATAGCCTCATATATAGAGGATAGCCGAAGTCCAACAACCGCCTGTTGGAGGGTCCTGGAATGGGTTTAGTGGTACATGTATAAATACCAGTGCAACTATTCCATACATGGGTGGTTTGGGTATGGGCCCCCCAAAGTCCACCAAACGCAGGGACCATTTGGCTTTGACGTGTGTGGTTCATTGATTCGTGGAACCACGGAGTGGCACCACCTGTTTGCTATTCGGAAAAGGGCCATCCGAACTCGGTTTTCCAACGTCGCCATGGTGATTCCATGTCTAGATCTAGATAGATCTCGTGTTTTGTGTTTCAGAAGCGTCCATCTCTTCTATAGGGTCCATACATGTCCATACATTGATTCAATGGGAATGGCAACATCTTCCGCTATCGCGCTTTCATCGGCCGGCCAGCAACGCATCATGATATCCAAACATATCCAAACACCCCCAGAAAGCACGATTCCTCACCACCAGGACCTTGAAACTGACCTCCGACCGAAGTCTAAAAGTGGAACCTCACGACCTTCTCGAGTCACTCACGACCAGGTGCCCTGGGACCCTCGACACCTTGACACCTGGTCGTTACCAAGTCGGACCAACCCCCAAGAGGGAACCTCCTCTATGCCATCGGCCAAGGTCAACGGGGCCATCGATAGGGGAGATGCAATGTCTCAAGTACCAAACGGTGATGGAGCTAGCTTTACATCAATGGGTAGACGTCCGGAGTATACCACAATCCCAGCATTTGGCTTGATATGGCTAGATGTAGAAGTTATATAGTATCATCGGTTCATTGATTTTGACTATATTTGACTAGATTTATTGGTTGCAGTTGCTGGCATGGATCAATGGATCAGCAAGCCCCTCTCATCTCCAGGTGCACCCATCGGAGCTGCCACCCTGCGCGCCACGATTGCCCTGACCGCTGCACGCGACAAAATGCGATAAGAGGATGTGTGGATGAGAGGACTGAACGATTTCAGAGTGGATTGTGGAAGAAACTCTTTTGTTCCAAGCAACTTCCTTACGAAGTCTCCAATGGACTACCCTACACCCCCCTGTGGATCTCCATTGAACACAGCTTTGAAGGTCCATTCGTTTAGTAGAGGATGCCACCAACTGGATTTCACCTCCACTTGCTTAGTCGCTCAGTGACCTTTTCACGAAATCTTTCAATTGACCTCATTCTTGGGAGGTCAGGCATGAAAGGTGCTGGAGTCGAGATAACTCTCAGGCTTTGGTGGCCTTGTTGATCAAACCTGCACGATTCCTAGCACCAAGTCAAACTGACAAGATATATTATAACTATAAATACACTCTATAGATATATGGATGTTTGTTTGTTTGTTTGTTTGTTGGTTTTCCCTTCTAGGAGCTCTCACCTTCACGGCTAAATCGCCCCCAAGGTGACGTGGAGATGCCGTGCGGGGCACCGCCCGAGAGCTCAGCCGAGCAACACCAGATGCCGGTGGCGACGCTCCGAACGAAGATGGCCGGTGTCCTCCACTCCGCAGGCTGTTGTCCATGGAAGGACTTCTTTCCTCTACTTGAGATTGGCCAGGCAGTCTCCCCTTCCATGGAACGTGAGTCGGAGTGTAAAGATGGCCTACATTCACCCAACAAACACCAAATGTAGGCCGCATTGGCAGTGCTGGAGCTTTTGAGAATTCTTTGTACATACCTATATATAGGGGTGGTTGAAAAGGGGTAATGTAGGCATATATATATATATCGCATAACCCTTCAAAAACGTAGTTCTTATCAGGAGTTATATAGAAAGGGGTGCTTTTCGGTCTCCAAGTGAGTGGATATTGGGCATCCCTATCCCCCAAGCTCGACACCCCTTTGCAGGGTGTTACAATGGTTTCAGAGAGATGGCACAATCCCCAAAAGGTGGCTTATATGGACCCCCATATAACAGATTTTTTGGGGTTTGTGCCACCTACTCTGAAACCACACATCTAGATGGAACGGCTCGTGTTTTTATGCTCAATGGATGGACGCCTTTTTTTTTTCATGGCTTTGGGGTGCCGACACAAGCGTGTCAACCATGTCGGACTGTTTTTGACTCTGCCTGCCGCATGTTCCAAGCCCCAGACATCGATACCGTCTCGGATTCCAACTCATTCGTCAGAGTCTCGAGTCGAACCACCCGGGATGAATCCGGCTGGCGTTTTGGTTGACCTTTATATATACCTGGAAGTGGATGAAATTGGTTCCTATACCCTAAGAATCTGGGCCTTCAAATGGGACGGGATTTGAGGGTCCACACCCCTGCTGAGGCTCCAACCCCTGCCATCGAGGACCCAAGGATTCTGATCGTCCATCAAATGACCATGACCTTGTGGATCATGGCACCCGGATACCTTGGTACCTACCTGGTGTATCCTCCTTCCCCTTCATATTCATAGAAAATGGCCTGCACATGCACACCCCCACCCCTGGAATGAGAAGAGGGATGGCGTCGGATTGGATCGCTACCGATTTGTCCTACCGACCTCCTCCCTCCCAGGCCTTCCACCTTCCAGGTGGGGGCCGAAACCGTCGGTCGACGATCCGCCCGAGGGCTCGGCGTCGGAAAAGGGAACGTCGGAAAGCCCCGCAGGTCGACCTGGGGCTGAAAAGCGTCAGGGTGTTCCACCCTGTAGATGTTCACCTGTGAAACAGATGAAAAAAACGTAGGGTCGGGTGTCGTGGTCGTCTAAAAAAACCGTGCGAAGCGTCGCTGGGATCCACCGGACCGTCCGGTGGATCGCAGCACTTCGTCGCTGGGATCCACTTCGCTGGGATCCACTTCCATGTTGTCGATCTCGCTTGCTGTTGATGAGCTTTGTTGTATTACGAACTGAAGAGTCTGCCATACCTTTCAAAGACAGGATTTAGCTTTCTTGTTTTGTTCACCTCCTTCAGAGACTGTGGAGTGAGCTAGGGCCGGGTCCAGGGGCCGTTTCTGTGTGGAGGTTGCACGGCTGATGGAGAGTGTGTGAGAGTGAGGGAGCTTCGATTTTGAAGTATCCAAGCTAACTGGAAGGGGGTCCACTTCAGGGCCTCGGAGGGGTCGCAGCACCAAGTCTTCAAGTCTTGGTGCTTCACCCTTAAAAGAAATCCAGCTGTACCTTCTCAGAAGGTACAGCTGGACCCTCCAAACCTACAATAACCAATTACCTCCTACCCAGACGCTCCAAACAGCCCTTGGTCCCTCAAAACCTAGGGATTTGAGACCCCAGACCCCTCCATATGAGGGTCCGACCCTTCCATATGAGAGCCCATGAGCGTCTGGGTATTACACAACAGTGTCTCCAACTAGCATACCTGAGAAGCTACGGCTCGCTACCCCTAAGTATACGATAGTATACGGCGTTTCTTTCCTGGCGACTCACCGCCGAGTCTCGGATCCCCGACTCTTCGGCTATCCCCGAAACCGGTACCCGGTACCGTTACGGGTCCTATGAAACCGGTCACTGGCTACCTCTGTTTGGAAAGAGCAAGGACCAAAAGGGGACTGAAGATTCTACCACCTTCCTTGAAGGGGTCACCTGGCTGGTTTCACCCCAGCCCACTACCATCCGGGATCTCCATTCTGAAAACACCCCTTGGAAGGTCCAGGTATAAGATTCCCATCAATTCAACCAAATTAAAGACAGGACAAATATGGACCAATGACCAATTCAACCAAATTCTCACCACGATCTGGGTGTAGATAAAACCAATGTCGATCTAGACATGTCCCGCCGCAAGAGACTCCAAGCCACACTCGATTCTCGGCGGAACTCGGCGTCCCCAAGAATCCTGGAGGACGTTGGCGCGACACAGGAGAGACTGCAGGTGAGTCTCTCGGGTTTTCAGGAGAGACTGCAGATGTCGTGCTGAACTATATACAGTCGTTCTGACATAGCTTCAGCCTGCCATACTGTACGCGACAGCAATAGTCCAGCCAAGTGCCCATTGAATGGTTCTGTTTTTGTTAAACAAAGACAATTAATTAACCAGTGCATTCAATTCAATTTCAGTTAAGTTATGTATTACAGCTCCTTGTGCTGGCTGCTGGCATGTGGGTTCTCCAACTCTGCAACATGTCCACCTTTTCATCCATGAAAATCAGCCAAAAGGCAGACATTTAGCACAGACAGAAGATCCGGGTATATCATGACAACTGGAATCCCTTGGAGTGTGATGCTGGCAGTCTTGGTGAGACTCCCAGATTTGCTCCACAAGGTTCTTTCGTACTGCCCGGTCCAATACTTTCGACAGTTCCAATGGTAGCATTGGGTTATTCGGACTGCCATGCTGGCAGTCTGAACTTACTGGGATGTTTTTCTTTCACTATAGGTATATACAGCTGTAGCTGGTGCTCAGGAGGGGGCTGCGGCTGGAGCTTACCAAGAGAGGTATCCAGTGACCGTAAATAGGGCCATAACCTGGGGTACCGGTTTCTGGGATAGTCTAGTTCGGGTTCTGACCGACCTCTGTTGGTATGACCTGCCTCTCACGTATTCTCACGAATTCTTTATGACCTGCATTGTGCCTTTACCCCCCCAACGTTCAACGGCTGACCTTTCGACCGACGAGACCCGGCGATCTCCCGCGATTCGCCGGGCTGACCGCGTGATCGGGTTCACCGCCACGATTCGCATCGATGAATGAACCCGTTTGGGCTCCGAACAGCCCACCTCCGTTTCGAAGATGGGACACAGGTGGGTGGTTTGGGGGGGTCTAACCACCGGTCACCTGGTCGGAGATGGGACAGGAGCCCCAGGGGAAAGAAGTGGTAGAAAAGCGCCGGTTGTGAGTCGCCATTTCTGGAGTTTCTTAGAGCTACATTGACGGGTCAAAACCTGAAGCCCATTGGAGCCTGCTAGGTTGAACCATGTTTGGTAGTCTATTCGTGGGAAAAAGGAGGGTACCCTTGCACCACCAGGTGCCCTGCTTGAAACTCCTGGATGTTGCACCATGATTCATGAGCTGGTCGAGCCAGTTCTTACATTGTTTGGGATGCTCCAGAGGTTTCAAGCCCTCACAACAGGTGAGCCGACTCTCCAACCCAACCTGCCCCCCCTGTCCAGATTCTAGGCCCCAAGGCTTCCCACCTACCCCCACGCGTCCCGTCCGCAGACGGACCACACCCTGTGGGGTTCGTTGCCGGGAAATACTTCCTGATCAGGCTATCTGTGATAACATCAGCTGACTCGCCAGAAAAAAGAGAAACAACTGGTCCAGTAAAGCACTTGAAATCCAAACACCCAGACGCGACCCTGGGCTCTCATATGGAAGGGTCGGACCCGAATCCTTTGGTCAGGGGTCTGGGGTCGAACCAATCCCTAGGTTTTGAGGGACCAGTCGGGCGTCGTTCACGGAGCGTCTGGGCAGTTACTCAGTACTTGGGCCCCAAGAGCACCACCGAGCATGCGACCGGAGGCACCCTGCCAGGCGACCGGAGAGCGTCCGAGAGCCCAGTCCGTTCGGTTCGTCCGGTCTGACGGTCCGAGCCCCATGAGGCGCTTACTGGTGACCATGCCCCATACCGGCGCGCTGGTACAGTTTCCGTATATGACACAACGGATTGCCGTTGGTGGTCCACTCATTTGCAAGTAGACAATCTGACATGTGCATACTGAGATGTAAAATTCATACCTGATTGAGAGGGAACGACAAGTTCATTGGAAAGCCATTGAAGGACCAAAGGTACCCGCCTTGACGGCATGAGAAAAGATAGCTCACAAAATAGGTGGTGAGTGGAGGTGGTCATGTTTGCTGGAGCGTTTACGGGGGCATATGCCCTACTGGTCCTTTCTCCAGGGCCCCAACGGGCCAACCAAGCGCATGTCAGAAACACTGGGCTACCACATTCTGCAAGGTCTTCTTCAACGTGACTGGACCTGAGATGCCCAAATTCGGTCACTTGGTCCAGCATCGCCATGAAATCAAGAGACTCCCTGAGCCGATGCCCCTGAGACGAAGGATTCACCTCTTCCACTGCTTTAGACCCACCAAAGACCGGAGGCCGGAGGGCGTTCCCACGCGCCACTGAGGCGCCAGCACCTCCGTACACTCGGCTGCCGCGCCACTGGGACGGCCCATGAGGCTACCAGTGACCTCAAGACAACAAAGTGTTCCATTTGTTTCCGTTACTAAGATGTGAGCTATTGTATACTTGCAGAGTACCTGGAAGCCGGGGTGTGCCCCTATTACGGCGATGGATTCTTCAGTATGTTCCTATAATTGTCCATGTGACTAAGTTATGTCGCTCATTTTTGTTGCGACGGCTTATCCCAATTGACCCGTTTTCGCTTGGGTGGCTTACTAAATTACCAACCAGTTTATGGATAGTGACCCTTTCCCAAGAATGATCCGATTGCCACAAGAGTTTGCTGGATTCAAGCCATATGCTTGAATCATGCTGAATCCTCTCAAAAGAAGAAAATGACTGGTTTTCAATAGCAACCCTCCCCCTCCCCCAATAATGAATCATGCTGAATCCTCTCAAAACAAGACAATGACTGGCTTTCAGAGCCCACAAGTAAGACTGAGACATAGTGTTGAGTCCCAGGGGCTGGGCCGCCGGTGGACTAGGCCGGGGTGTTTGCTATTACCTGGAAGCCCCAGTCCCAACCAAAAACAAATGCGTGGAGCCCCCAAACGAAGATAGAATTAGCCCTTTTTTCTGCCAGCCCCATATTGGAACAATCAAGTGTTTTTGCCCGTTCCGGGTTCTAAGCTACCGTGATCCAGAGTGTACTCATCAGCTTTCATGTGAGCCATGCCTCTAACTCAAGCACGACATGGCTACACATTCAGGAGCAGAAATAGCATTATGCAGATTGGTGCAACCGTCGCAAGTACACTTTTAGACGTGCACTTTCTAGACGAATAGGCCCTTGAATAGGCACGGCACGAATCTGTCAATTTAGCACATGAAGGACCCCTTTTTGGGTTTCTTGGCTCACACATCCGGTGCCTTTCGAACCTCCATTTTTTGCTGGACGCCATGCCACCGTTTTTTTTTTTTTTTCTCGGGGGTAAGTTGATCCTTTCAGGTCTTCTTCGCGGCACACTGGTGACTGGTAACCTGCGGGCTTCTGGTATGCCAGTGTTTTTTTGAGCGGACCAAGACAGACCAAGACCTGCCGCATGTCGAGGTCCTCTAGAGCACCTTCAGCTGCGAGGAGCGGAGTTGGTTCATGGGTGCAGACTCACCGAAGGGTTGCTGAATTCAGCTGCAAGGACATGCAAGGACTGTATAGCAGCCACTCCTTGGCTGGCATAGGCGGATCCAAATATATTTGTGACACGGGCGAGCACTGACCTTGTGGGTGGGTGTATTGAACTGGGGGTTTCTTAAAGGACATCGCCAAGGGATGACTTCTCCAAACCGCTCTTGGTCGCGTTCACAGCTCGTGTTTCCAAAGACCAGGCAGCCAGCTCGGCCGCTCCAGGGGCCCCCGTGACGTCGCGGACGCTACGACTGGGCTGCCCAGCAAAGGAACGGGGGTTCCAAACCCTCCATGAAGATGGTTGATCACGTTGATGAGTTCAGAGCCCAGAGTCCAAGTTCTCAAACGATGAGCCTGGCTGTTTGTCCAACTGAGCCTGGGTTCCTCCAACTGAGCCTGGTCTTCTCACATTGGGGATCGTGGTCACCAGGGTACCATGCTTCTACCTACATCTCAGAGTGGATCAACTCTCCCATCTACTCCCAGGTCAGTTTGATCTCGTTTTATCTGGACCTGCAGCCTACAACAGCACTAACTTAAGGAGGTAAACGACCAGGCTTTACTGGATCAGACTGGGCTTGTACAGTACATAGCGTGTTACTAGGAGCGTGGTACTTGAACCTTCCCCTCAACACCGAACACCGAAACCTGCCAATGACACCCTACTAAGTCCAGTCTGACCCAAACCCTGGTCTTTTACATCATCGTGCTTTGGTATGACTCATGACCACGTCCACTAAATTGGAGCTTTAGAGACTCTACTTCTCTTTGTGTTCAGCTCCGCCGCTCCTCGGTCGCCGCCCTTTCCAGGTCCACGGCGCTGCGGCCGGGTCTGGCCGTCCAGCTGCAAGGCGCGGGTCGGTCGGTCGGTCTGGTGAACGACCAACTGGGACCGGCGTGCGTACGATTCGTGTTGGATGGACGGGGAGGTGGGGGGACTGGGAGAATACAGTAAACATGCAGTAACCCCCCCCTTGGCTCCCATGGAAGGTCCCAAACCCATCGCAAAACCTCTTCATAGCCAAAGGTTATAAGGTAAAGGTTTTAAGACACCTAGTAAATCAAAGAGATTTGGGCATGGCAGAGAATTTGTGAGTTTCTTTGCGTCAATTTTCATGAGTTGGTCTTTGGGTGTGGCTCTTAGGTCCAAAATTGCAGCTGACATAGAAGGGTACTGTACAAAGATTTCAGAGCAGAAGGCACTTTCGCCGTCATCATGTTTGACCATATTTACCACGTTCATCCCCTTTGTACCGAATGGACACATTGGTACTGGATAGCTGTAAGTGTACATAGAAGGTGCAGCAAATCTCATTTGATCATATAGTGATCCCCACATAGAAAGTTGCACAGAATGACACAGATTTCCATTGTTTTTTGATAGGGATCTACTACCAGCTGTACTACCAGCACCACCCAGTTCGGGTGGTTATTGGATGGAAAATACCTTTTTTGAGGGGGGTCTCTAAACCACCCGAACTGGGCGGTGCTGGTATAGACTATCATATAATTTGGGTATCTATATTCCCGTTTGGGCTCCTGGCCCACCTTCGTTTCGAAGGTGGGACACGGGTGGGTGGTCTTGGGGGGGTCGATCTCTCCACCGGTCACCGGGTCGGAGATGGGACGACGGAGCCCCAAACGGGAATCGAAGCACTGAATCAACTGTGGAGGTTTGGAGCGCAAGAAGGAGCTGAACGGGTGCCAAGGGCGCTTAGCAGCGGGAGGCTCAGCGGGAGGCGCTTGGTTTGGTCCAGGGTTTGGAGGGATGAGGGATGAGGATGATGAGGGAGAGATGCATTTGGTGAATGGCGTATTGTTGAATACAGTGAGGCTTGTTGATACCTTTCTGATGTTATTTTTTATTCTGAGTGTTGGTTTCTGGGAGGTGTTTTTGGAGCATGCGTTCATCCGGAAGCGTCCAAATGATCTGGAAAGCGAGGCTGGAGGCCTTTGAGCAACGTACATGCTTCAGCCAAAAGAACCATTCCCGAAGGTGGAAGAGTTCAGAGTTCAACACGTGGAAGGAGATTCCTGCCAAAGCATGAAGGGTGATCGACCAGTGCCTAGGGCTTACACCCTATAGAACACCCTGTTTGCAAGGACAATCATCTTTGTCAATGTGGATAAGGGAGAAAGCATAGAAATGGGACGTGTGAAGTAGACTCATCCATTGCATTTGCAGGTTGGGCATGAGGCGAACCCTGTCTGAGACAACTTCAGGGTGCCCCAGGGTCTCATTTAGATTCTCACCTGGTATGGTTCTTACAAAGCAACCTCAAAGTTGGTAGAATTGATTTCCACTGGAACTTCCTGGATGTGATTTTCGACCTTCGAACTTCTGTTCTTCTTGTGCTTGGTGCCTTCAGCCGCACACCGGCACTCCAAAAAGGTTTGGCCCCCCATCCGACATCAACCTCGTCTCTACTGTCCTCTCTCGATGTCGGCAGCTGGTTATGCAGGCCCAAGAAACGCCCAATGAGCGTCAAGAAGGGCATCCCCCAAAAACCCATGGGATCCAACACCCCCAGTCGAGTCGAGACCGTCCACGCCGTGGCTTGGAAGCTCGGAAGCGACCGGGAGCATGGCCGCGCTCGTGACCTGCGCGACGCGGCCAACATGGAGAGGAGTGACGGACGGTGGGACGGCGGGTAGGCGAGTGATGTCAGATGGATGTGTTCAACCATAACGTTCAACAATACTCTCCCTGGAAGACTCACATGGTTACGTGGAGTTCACCACCTGTTTGTAGTGGAAAATGGTCTTCCAAGGGGCCATTCTCCACTTCCATGTTAGTTCCAGGGAGTGTAACCTGATTTGGCTCAATATGCTTGTAAAGAGTTCTAAAGGAGTATCAAGTGATGGGTTCCCTATATTTATGGGTCAATCCCTTTCTGGGGGATACACCTGTCATTTTTCCCGGTGTTATATATATATATATATTTAATATTATAAGCAAATCCAAGATAGGGCTGAGCAGGGAGGGCGGAGGAGGTGAAGGAGTTAGAGATCTCAGTAGAACAAAACCATTGGAGCCTTCGAACTGCCTCAGCTCAAAAAAAGCTGCGAGGGAGAGTGAGCGGTTCCGTCTCTTTCATCCTGTCAGCTGCGAGCCAGACTGGCCGCGGGGTAGCTGCGATCGGTGACTCATCAGGGGCTGGGCTTCACTACAACCCTGGCTCGTGGGTTTGCTGCCTTACAGTTCATGAAGAGTTGATTGCTCAAGAATCACCCTGGACACTGTGCAATTGGTTTGCATCTCAGGGCAGTTATGTCATGTTATGTCGAACCCAGGGGATCGGAGGGGATCCAATTGCCACTGGCAGCGAACGTGGTTTCACAGACTGTCTAACCATAGACCGAACGATGGCCCCCCGATCTACTTACTGTAGTGCGAGATTCAATCACCTACGACAGAAAGCCACCGAAACACACCGAAAAATAATTACACCGGATTCGTATGTGTTCAATTGTTTTCATGTTGTGTTTTCTTTTAAAGCCACAAACGAATCAGTGAAACAAAGCAACAAACTGTTTCTTTGGGGAAGTGTTCAACCCACACACTGAAAGCACGGAAGCACGGCCTGGGCCGACGTCTCCGTTCTTCGGGCAACTTGCCAACCTGCCGGTGCTCAAGGCCTTTCAAGCGAATCAGCTGGTGCAAGTGCTCTCAAAGTCGAGTGGTGTCCCTTGGCGGAACTCGCTGTGGCGTTCGGGCATGTGCCCAGGAAAATGGAGAGTTGGAGTGTGAGGTCTTCCGCACCTGTGTGGAGAAGAACGGGCTACGTCACGGACGGAGATGGAATGAGATGGATACCAAAGAGAAGGATTGACCCAAATCTTTGGATTCAAGACAGTTGATAACCTGATACAGTATTATACAATTATTATACAATGTATTAAACATAAAAAAGAAAGCTGATTGTCACACCTTGATGCTCTTATTCAACACCCGCCTATCAAACTGATCGCTTCCCTTGCAGCAGCCTCCTTCAGCCTCCTTCAGGCGTGGGTGGATGCCACAGTGCACCAAGTTCTGCAGGATGGCGCCGTTTGGGTGCGGCCACTGGACCTGAACACCTCGTCGAATCTCTTGGGGCACTGGGAGGTGGTGACCTGCGCACCGCGACGGTGCGGAGGTCATAAATATGGGGTGCTTTGGGAATCTTCCGAAGATGGGACACTTGCTGAGTCGCTTTCGGACACTTTGGGATCGGCACTTGCTGAGATTGCTAGCAGGCAGCTGCCGCTTTGTGGCTATCGAACTAGTGCGCTTTAGATGTTCAGTCAAAGAAACACATGAAGGAGGCCCGCCTGAAGGCTGGCCAAGCAAGTGGGCTTTTCTTGGAACAACCCAGCACTTGCCGATGTCAATGTGCAATTTGCTTTGGACGGGGTTGTTTGCAGACAGGAAACTTTGTTGAACAAGACCAGCACAAAAACCAGACCAACTATAGATCATTATAGTCTTAAATATCTAGCAGATGTCCCATACACAGCTCTGTTTAAAATTATCATCCGTGTCCACTCCTGGGCTTTGTGCTTGTGTGCTTTCTGGTCAAGCCACACCTAACCTGCGACGCCTTCCTCAGCTGACATGGTCATTCGGTCGTTCGGGTGGTTCGGGCCGTGGTGACTCCAAGGTACGGCAACGCACAGAAGGTGATCCCAATAGAGCTCCTCTGCGCACAGAGAGGTGGTTGTGGAGGGCCAGGGAAGTGGATCATGAGCGTACAGCGTACCACTCGGTCCGGACTCGGTCCAATGATCATATATAAGAGCACGTGACGCAGAGAGGGGTAGGTTAGTGCACCAAATGCGTGTGAAACAAAGAAGGTTCACCTCAAAAGCAAATAACTCCCAGCACTTAATTTACTATAATATCATATGTATATATACTCTCGAAAGTGTATATATATACATATATATGTAATATATAATATATGATATTACATGATCACAAGTATGCCAGAATCATGCTACCTCACCTGGTGGGAAGTCACTTTGGACACCCGTGAAACGCTCCCAGCACTCCCAGCACTCCCAGCCGTTCGACGTGGACGAACGGGAGCTCGCGGGAACCGGGTCGCGATCTGGAAAGCGGTCCCGCATGGCCAGGGGGTCAGACCTTTGCTCGTTCACCCAGACACTCCGATTTGCATGGCGTTTTTGTACGCTGAATTAACATTGGGGTGGTTTCAGAGGTGAATGTGGGCATATGTTCTATGCATGGAGTGTTTGGGAAAGCTCCTTCCAATCGGAGAGCTTTGAGGCTCCAAAGCTCGACGTTGCGCAGCAAGTCTGCACCGCTGCCTGCGCATGGGGAGCGGGTGCAAGTGTCACTCAGCTGCTTTCAGGCTTGAGCGCTTTAGGTGTGTGTTGGTGCGGGCTTGCTTCGTGAATAAGGGGGGGGTTGCCTCACAACGCAATTGGGATAGCGCCTTGATAGGACTCCAATCAGTTTGCGGGAGATGCAAATCTGTATAGGGTTAGTTTGAGGTTAGCAGGTTGCCATCCTAGCTGCTAGCAGGGACTGCTGTTGATAGAAGAACTCCCGCAGCCGTAGGGATTTCGCACGTTTTTTTGGGGAAAGGATCCATCGACAGAGGTGGTGCAGGGTGCAGGGATGTGCAGGGTGTCCTTCTATATAAATTCTATTTATATAATCCCTTTAATCACTGGAAGGAGTGGAGCAGGCATACTCTTGTCGCACAGAAGGGTGGGTTCATAGTCAGTTTCAGCATGGCGAACATGACGGGCGTTCTACAAGGTGGAGCCGCATTTTTGCATGCAAGTTTTTGGGGAGGTTTCTTGAGCAATCGCCAGATCCTTCGAACCTAGAAATCCAAGCAGTGTCCAAGTGCCCAGCCGACCGCAGTGGCAGGTCGTAAATATAGATACTGTAATATAGGGAAAGCCAGCAGGACAATGCATTAATATAAATTTGAAAGCTTCAGATTTCACAGCTCAATGTAGAAGGACGAGAACGGTTCAGTCTAAATGTAGGCTTCTAAGCCTTGGAGATCTGGGGGGGGGCGAAAAAAGAAACACACACACACACACATCCTTCATATAAGTTTAGAAAAGCATAAGGAGTTTTTTTGCGCCACCCCCCAAATCTATAGCAGAAATCTCCAAGGAAGAAAACTGAAAGCCAGAAAGGCACCAGATCCCCTGGAGTCAAGTCCGTGGCAGCCACAGTGCATCCGGTGCTGGTGCACAGGACATCCGATCCAACGGGACCTAGTCGCAGGTCACGTACCACCGCACTGTTCACGTATTACCGCCTGTGATATCCTTGCAAGCAGACACAATGGTCTTTGCAAGTTCACTCTCTAATTGGGCTGAGTGGATTGAGTTGGATAGGTTCAAGGCTTGCTGCGCAAAAAGTGGTAGGCTGTCCTGTTCAGCAAAGAGTTGATGACCCATCTTTCACAATGAACTTCAGTTCAGAATTCTTTTGGGTGAGGTGAGCACACAAACACCCTCAAGGAGACTGCAAAGCGCCTTGAGGATGCCCTTGCAAAACTGAATGCTGTGTGAACAGGATGCAGTAACAAAGCGCTCTACTCCGGTGACCTGTGGCACAATCTCCGTGGACTCTGCAAGTGCAACCGCTGGCTGCGTGACAATTTAGGTTCATGCTTCTGAAAGATGCTATTCCTTCTGAAAGATCCTATTGAGAAAGTAGTCGGCTAGTCACCGCACTTGATCGAGAAGCTGAACTAAAGCCATGCTTTGCTTCCCGCCCTGTCCACCAAGGATTCAACAACATATAAACATCAAAATTTCACCAGAAAAATTCAATCACCTAGATCAGAGAAGGATTAGATCAGAGCAGGGTCGCATGAAATTTTATGTTTTTTTATTTTTTTGCATTTTTCACATGTTTTGATCAATTTTCCACATTTTAAAACATATTTTCACATTTTAAAGCATTTTTCACATTTTTTCACATGTTTTCATGTTATTTTGTTCTTTTTTTAATGTTACTTTTTTTGGAAAACACCTCAAACACAACATGGTTAATCAAATTGTGTTTCTTGGGGAGAAGTTATCCTAACAGCTGAACACAACTGACCGCAGCAGTCATGACACGCTCCAGTTTGCATGTGAAATTATGTTTTTGCATCTTTTTGCATATTTTTGCATATTTTCTCATGTTTCGAGATTTTTCGATTTTTTTTGAGATTTTTTGAGTTGTTAAAATGAGTTTTCCTTTTACCCCCTCGAGATTTTTTGAGATGTTTCGAGATTTTTTGAGATGATTGTTGCTAAGATGTTCATTTAAAACTTTTTTTTTGCATTTTTTGCATTGTTTTGCATTTTAAATCTCTTATCGAGATTTTAAATCTCTTTGGAAAGTATTCCATTCCAAAACCTCTCCGGTGAAGGTTATTGAATTTTTTGGGGTGAAAATTGTCCAACAACATCGTAAAAATGGTGCCTCCACAGCGCACCGGTCTCTAAACCTATGTTTTGATCTGGCTTTGTTGTGCAAAACCCTTAGTAAAGCAATGGTGGCTTGGCAAAGCCTATTCAATTTCATTGTGGTGGATAGGGGCCGGGTATACCATTGGAAGGTACCGAGCCCGCCCCCATTCAGGTATTCAAAGAGCCAGCGGCAGTGGATTACCGGGCGAGTGCGAGCCTTTTCCGCACCGGTCGGCACCTTTTCGAGAGCGCCTTTTTCTTGTGCTTCTTTATCGTCTGAATTGAAATAAGAACAACTCTCTTGAAAGCATGCGCCCTTCAAAGGATCCATGTCAAATATGGCTGACATGACCGGTGGCTTGGTCCATGGTGAAGGTCACTCATGGACCATCGTTTGGGAAGAGGAGGCGCCAAACTTTTCAGCCCTCCACCCCTGAAAGACAGATCCTCCTACCCAGGCTTACCAGCAGTTCCAGTCGCGGGGTGCCCAGTAACATCCACTGACTTGATAAGAACTAGAGTACTACTTCTTTGAAGGGTTCCACCCCCAAAGGAATATACTTTGAGTCTGTCCCATTACCTGTAGCCTGTAACCGTGGGTAAAACACACTTTTCATCCATTGTCACTGGATGTTACTGGGGGATACTCCTGGTGTGGAACTTTTTTGCTCCACAAAACCGACGTCCTTCTGACTAAACCGAGGAGAAATTTGGCCGGATGGCTCCGTCCATGTGCAATACGAGGACGCGAAGTTGCTCGATCTCCAATTGGTGTTATTCTTTCCCGTTTGGGCTCCACTCGCCGAAATCGTTTGAAGGTTGGACTGGGGTGGGTGCCAGGAGGGTCCTTAGACTCCCAATATAAATGGATGGTTGAGACATTTTGGGGTTTGAAACATGTAGGCGCTAACTCCGGATCCTGATGTCAATTTTGCCTCAAGATCGGAAGGGCGTTTCCTTTTTCTCCCAACCCACCCACCCACCCTTGACACCCTGTGCAGGCCCTATAGGGTGTGGGGTCTTGTCACAATTGTCGGGATTTCGTACACACTCCCTGAGCGGACCATCTTTACAGGCTAGTCTGTGTGTATTCTACCACGACTGAATCCCAGTACTATTTCATAACACTTTAAACCTCTTTGTCCATGTCTTTTGTCCATGTCTCTTGTAGCATGGCGGGGCTCAGATGTTTAACCAGACTCCTTTGAAGGTTGCGAAAGAAAGTTGAGAGAGAGTCCGTGGAGACATTGTGAGTTACGTCATGTTTCAAGTACTTTCTGAACAAGGACTTGGAGTAGTAGGGTGCCATGTGTGTGTGTCCACCTTTGTAACTAAGAGCTTGTGTTTTTCTCAATTTTCAAGTCGCAGTGGGCGTGACGGTCGATTTCCTAGTCACGCCAACGAAGCTAGGGAAATCGACTGGATGGAAGTTAGGACGCAAACTTCTGTACCTGCGCGGATGAAAGCTTTTGCACACGCTGTGACGCTACTTATCCTTTTGTTGTTTCCATGTATCCCCCAAAACAGGTTTCCTTAGCTTTGGTAAAGTGCTAGTGCGTTTGTTAAACAGTTCTGTTCTTCGGACCCTTGCACCTTACCGTTCTTGCAGTACAGGGCTAATGCAGTAACTAGCTTCCGCAGTCAAGTGAACAACTCCTTTGTTAAAACACCTTCAAGTGCTCCGACTCTTTCACCTCTCGGTTCCATCGCCATTTTTCCTGGGAAGTGGGTTAACTTGTCAGAGTGTGACTCGCTCAGTCGTCCCACTTGGGTGCTGGGTGTGATCCTCCGCAAGGAGGCGCTGTTTTCATTCCGGAAATCGTGTAACTGACTCCACTGTTCTTGACCTCTCTTTGGATTTTCTTAACCGCTTTAGTTTCACTACTGGATTTACTGAATTTGATGCCGTCGGGCTTACGAAATACCTCCACTTGCATCTCCACTTGCATTTCCATGTGCTGCATTTCCATGTGAGGAATTGAGACCAGTGAAGCTAATGTCCTCACTTGCACTTCCACACCCCCCCCCGCCACCTTGCAACCTAATTCGTGTTTCTATCCCACCCGCTATCTAGGGTAACAGAAGGAAATGGTACTCGACACACTTGTGTGTCGGTACCTTTCCTTCTGGTTCTCCTTTTCTACTCCTAGCTACCCGGGCGGTTTAAGACGTAGGTCCCGCTCGCTAACTACTGCATTTAATTCATTCGGCTAAGTAGTCAGTAACTAGCAGGTTTCGTAACTAGTGGGCCTTGTCACTACACCTATCTTTCTTTCTTTCCTTTGCGTTTTCCTTTCTGTCTTTCTTTCCTTTCGTTCTAAGGTTTTTTCATTGAGCTCGCAGGAGGTGCGCCTTTTGATTTTCCATTTTGCAGCCACTTGCAGCTACTTGCAAGTGGCTGCCAAGTGGCTGCAAGTGACTGCTACGTCTGTCCGGAGAATATCATGATTTCTCCGCATGCAGTTCTGAAGAAAACCAATATTTCTGCAATGCTGTTCTGCGAAGAAATAATCATAATCCAAGACTTTTCCGAGAATAGATTCTAATCTTCTGCAGAGCTAGCGACGAAGAAATCTTACAGTTTTTACATAAAGAACTCAAAGTACAGTGTTGAAACTTACTTGCTTGAGTGACAAGAGGCTGCAAGTGGCTGCCTGAGCAAGTGGCTGCAAATGACTGCAAAACCAAAAATCAAAATGTACGTCATTTGCTCGCTCTCTGGGTTTTTTGGTGATTAGTAAGTTCCCCCTAAGAGTTTCTGTTTTTCTCAATTTTTTAAGTCGCAGGGGGCGTGACGGTCGATTTCCTAGTCACGCCAACGATGCTAGGGAAATCGACTGGATGGAAGTTAGGACGCAAACTTCTGTACCTGCGCGGATGAAAACTTTTGCACACGCTGTGACTCTACTTTTCCTTTTGTTGTTTCCATGGTGGTTGTTCGCATGATATCCCCCAAAACAGGTTTCCTTAGCTTTGGTAAAGTGCTAGTGCGTTTGTTAAACAGTTCTGTTCTTCGGACCCTTGCACCTTACCGTTCTTGCAGTACAGGGCTAATGCAGTAACTAGCTTCCGCAGTCAAGTGAACAACCCCTTTGTTAAAACACCTTCAAGTGCTCTGACTCGTTCACCTCTCGGTTCCATCGCCATTTTTCCTGGGAATTGAGTTAACTGCAAACCAATGTCAGAGTGTGTCAAACTCCGTCTCTAGGAGTCCTCACAAATTTAACAGCAGGGGGGGCAGAGAGCCCGTGCAAAGCTCTGCCCAACAAAGCGCGTTAACAAGCTGTGACACTAATCTTCGTGTAAAGGGCGCGCGCAGCGATGTGAAACACCTTCGGTTTGACTGACTCAGCATTCATGCCGTTCCTTCAAGTCAAGTGCGCAATCTTTCTCTGAATTTAATGCTCATTCTTTTGGGCTATGAGTCTGAATGTGACCAGCTGCAACTCCCCACTTGGGTGTGCAGTGTGATCCCCGCAAAAACCGCCGCATTCATGTCTGAAACTTCCTGAAGAGCTGCTATGCACCGCGAGCCATTTCCTGATCTTTCGTTCACCTTCAGTATCGCTTGATTCAAGACAAGACTGCCGAGTTTACGGTGAATATTCCTGAAACAAGTTGATCATGCAGATTGCTTGCAACAAGACCGCCCCTTTTTCTTCGTTTGGTAGGTGTTTCCTCAGGTTGCTCTTGAGGCTCGTTTAGTCGCCCCAACACTTCACACACTATACCCTACCCCTCGGTTCTCGTTCTCTCCTGCAAATTGTTTCTTTTTCTAGGTCTGACTCTCCTCTAGAGGCTTTTTAGGTGCGTAACCAGGTCTTTTTCAGTCAAGTGACAGCCGACTTCCGGTAGAGCACTCTGAACCTAAATAATGTTTAAGCTGTCCAGCCACTACGTTGTTTCTTCCCTAAAGGGCTACGGCTTCCATAGGTAACCTTTGTGAACCTACGTATGGCTTAAGCTGTCCAATGCTTTGTTTGCGCATTTATAGCAAGCGTGCGCCGCTTTGCGGCCCATTATGTGTGTCAATCTGTGTCTCTAGGAGTCCTCATCAATTTAAACAGCAGGGGGGGCAGATTGTGAAGCCCGCCTTTTCCATATGAGGGGCGGTGCAAGCACACTCGCATGGAGCTATTTCGAAAAGCTCGTGTGCCTGCAGAATATGTCCCAGGACAGATCTGACACGGGGACTGGCAGCGTCAGTGACCCTATGCCAGTGCCATCTGGAGAGATCACAGTTGAGGCCTTGTTGGATACCTTGGCTTGGGCGGTCAATAGATTTGGCCAACTAGCAACGGTCATATCCAAAGTGCAAGAGGCTGCAACCTCCATGGCAGCATCCAGTGGCCTGCTCAATCCGAAACTTGATGCACAACATACGAGTTTGGTGCGCATGGCTGATGGGCTCCTCGCCCTATCGGCCAATATCAAGGTCAACAGTGAGCATGCAGGACCAATGTTGGCTGGAATAAAAGCTCTCCAGAAACAGATGGAGAATTGTTCCTGGCAGATCAGTGGCTCCGGCGCCAAGCTCGTCAATGTGAGTGTGAAAGAATTGCTGATGAGCCAGGGGAAGAACATTGGTGAGAATACTGCCAACACCACGCGTCAAGCTTTGCCCAACGAAGCCCTTTGCACTAGTACTAGGAAGCAGGAAGGCATCACCAGGAGTCATTGGATGCATGACTTGCAATGTATGTGCACATGTAAGCAGCCTCACGCAACCCTTGCAACAGTCAAAGAGGTGAAAAAAGCTGATGGCAAAATCCTTAAGCAAACTACTGGAAAAGGCGAGACTTGAAAGAATCAGGAGCGTATCCATATACAATGGGTTCCAAAATGGTGCAGTTGTGGCAGGCTGCTCCTGGCTCTGTCAGATCTTCATGTTTGTGGCCAAGGGAACCTTCCACACAACCTTCTCAGCCAAAGATCAGACCTCTATGTTCGTGGCCAATGGAACCATTCACACAACCTTCTCAGCCAAAGGGCAGCAGCCATGCAGCAAGTTGGAAGATTCCATTGGGTTAGAGAACAATGGCATTGTTTCCATAGGGCCCGCAATCTCAGGCGTGACGTGCTGGCACGAGTTCTATGATCGCATGAAGAAGCAACATCAAAGGATCATCGATGCTGTTGGCGCAGAAGCGTTCCATGCTGAGAGCACCCGCTTGTTCCCGCTCGCCCTTGATGATGATGCATGTTTCTCAGTCGCTTCGGCTTTGGGATGGCACTTAGATGGGCTGTGGTTTCATAACCAGTTAACAATCATGAAAAACTGTCACTAGTTAGGAAAATAAGGTTTCTTGTTTGTTTAAATATGATGTTTATACTTTTCTTTGGAGTGTTTTTTCGGATTTTGTTTCATTTGTTGTGCGTTTTTTTTTTCGGATTCTTCTTTTGCTGCGTTCTGCTTCTGCTGCTTTTTTGCTTTTGTTGCTTTTCTGCTTTTGCTTTTCTGCTTCTGCTGCTCTTGTTGCTTTTCTGCTTTTGCTGCTTTTCTGCTTCTGCTGCTTTTCTGCTTTTTGTGTTTTTGTCTTTCTAATCTTTGCCTTTGTTGCTTTTCTGCTTTGGCAGCTGTTCTCCTTTATCTTTTTGTTTTTGCTTTTCCATCTGTGTGCTTTCTAACCTTTGGATCTGGTGTGCTGCTGGGGGGGGCGCTGCACCCCCCCAACCCCTCCCGCGCCACGAAATCTGCACTTCATCTCCGACACCCGCACCTGCCACGAAATCAATATTTTAAGGTGAACCCCCCGGGGCATAATACCAATCATATATGCCTCATGTGCTGGTTCTTTTGCTCTTTACTTTTTCTCTGCTAACGTAGGACTTTCTCTGACACCTACACTATTCCAATGTATTTTGCCAGCTACGACAGCTCCCAAATTAGTCTAATCAGCTAGCAATTAATATGAAACCTGCACTATTCCAATGTATTTGGCCAGCTACGACACCTGTGTCTCGGCTACGGACACGAAATTGCTGTAATTAGCTAGGTACTATAATAACAAACCTGCTCTATTCCAATGTTTTTGAAAAATTTACGGAAAATGAAAAATCCAAATTAAACGTGCACCCCTTTTTCTTTGACTGAGCCACTTGGCTAATGATATGCACACAAATTTCATCAAGCCACATGGCTAATGAGTGGAAAGTGACGCAAGCCTTATACTTGACCAATGACAGCAAGCTTGCATTGCTAAAAAGCTGCTTTTTGATATCATAGGCATTCATCGTAGGTGCCAAGGAGTTAGAGTGGTGATACCTCTGTGGTACAGGTGTTGCCAATAACACAGCATGCAAAGGCACTGCCATCAAAGTGTCAAGTTCTTGCCGCAAGAATTTCACCAGCATCAAACTCGGAAGCTGTACTGCGCAAAAGCACAACACCCCTTTTAGTGCAACACCCATGCTGGCCCATAGCCTTGAAGGTTTGCAAAGTGCCTTTGGAATCGTTCCACATTGTAGATGCCAAAGCTTTGGGTTTTTTGGTCAATGGCCTGGGTTCAATCAAGTACACACCTGTAGCAAAGCAGTCAACTGCAGAAAGCTTCTCCAGCTCAAATGTTGTAACTTCCTCACAGAGGCTCCTCTCAAAATTTCTGGTGTTGTGTATGATGTTTGCATGGCGACTGACCATCTTGTTCTTTCTCTCCATGCAGAAACAATTTGGAAGCCAGTGGTGCTTTGACAGGAATCCAGGTAGGCGAAGAAGCCAATGATGCTTTACAGCATATGCCACCCCAAAGGTCCACCCAAAGCTTGAAAGATGTCTCAACAGCTGCTAAAATGGCAGCAGGCTGCACACGGGTGTGAGAACAGGCCTTGCACCAGACATAAAAATCCGGGCGCCGGCCACGAAGCCCCTCCCCTCCCCGGAGGGCCTTCGGTGGTAACCGAAGGTTATAGACGCTCGGCCCCCCCTGCCGCCGACCCTCGCCACGAAAAACGGGGGGACCACCGGTTCACTGAAGCCCCTGTAATTTACAGTGTATCGTGTGTGTGTGAGGTATAAAAAACACTGTGTTTTACAGGGTTTATTGCGCATATCGAAGCACGACGCGGCGAAGATGGAAAAATGCAAAAACGCTGTGTTTTTCAAGGGTGGTGTCGGTAATGTGCGCCGGGCGGACAGGCATAATCGACATTTTGTGGGTAGAGGCCTTCCAGACGATTTCAATTGCCTGACATATCCTCAACATAGGCCTAAGATAGCCAACATATCCCCAACATATGCCAAACGTAGCCTCCAAGATGGCTCAACACAGGGCCAACATAGGCCAACATGGGGCCAACATACGCCAACATAGGCCCAACATAGGCCCAACCTAGGCCAACATAGGCCTAACGTAGGCCAACATAGGCCCAACATAGGCTCAACATGGGCTCAACTGTGGACAAAACATAGGTCAATTCATAGACCACATGGGCCCAACTTGGCCCAACCTAGGGCCGAGATGCGCACCAGATAGCTTAACTTGTGCCCCAGACCCCGCCCCCGTCTCCAACGCCGAGCAGTTTCCCACCTTGCCCCCACCCAGGGCCCTGTACGCCCCCGATAGCTGCAGGTGCACCCGACCCAGCCCTACACAGACCCTAGTGCGCCGGCGCCCGGCTGTTAGGCGTAAGCCTTCAAATACTTCGATTTTCTTTGTGTGTGTACCAGTGGGAAGACAAGCAACCCTGACAAAATGTGCCAGTATAGGTATGACACACAAAAGTTCACTGGCAGTGCTGTTGAGCTTCTGTTTTTTGTGTTTGACTATTGTCTTTGCTTCAAAGAGAACACTGGGCTTCAGTTTGTTGACAGCATGAGGTAGTGCCATTGTTCCATATAGCCTTTCACAAATGACCACATATCAAGCTGTTGAAACAAATTGAAGATGGTGTTTATAGCAATTGATTTGATAGTAGACAATGCATCCAGTCATGGCAGAACTGATCAGCAGGCATCATCACATGCCTGAGTTGCATGCATGCAAGGACAGACTGGCTTGACCAGCTTATCCCAGCAGCTTGTTCCCACAGCTTGAACTCAGAATCAGCCATGCCACTGGCAGCCCTGTAGGACATCCTGTCCCAAGAAACCAAGATATCCCTGTTGGTGTTCAAAGACAAACCACTATGCTTGCAGTATTTGCTGGCTTCATTCACCAATTCTTCCTCCTCCTCTGTAGATCCACGTGACTGAAAAATGTTGCTGCAAAGCATGCAGAACCTACTGCACTCATCTCTCCAGCATGCTGAATCTTGAAGATGATAGATTCAGCAAACCTTTGAGCCACATCATCTCCTGGTCGAGCTGTATGAATCTCTGCTAAAAAAATAATTTCCCCTTCCAATGCTCACAATAGATTCAAGCACCTGTGACTGATTGAGCCTGTGAGTGCGCAGACATAACTTTCAATGATTCAACTATGCCTGAAAGCAATCAGCTGATTGAATCAAACAATCATCCAACTAAAATTTCAATTCAGAATCTGAATTGAACAGTAAAATTTTTACATTTCAATTCAGAATCTGAATTGAAATGCAAACATGAATCTGAATTCAAGCTTTAACGTTTTTCATTTCAATTCAGAATCTGAATTAAACAAAAACGATTTATATACATAGCAAGAAACTTGAAAGGACCAGCCAAAAGGCTAATGACTATGTGTGAATACATAGCCATTCTTTTGCTGCTGCTGGTTCTGGTGCTGCTCTTGCTCATGGACGCGGATGTTGTACAAACATTTACAAACACTGAAATCATGTTTTTGTAGAGCATATGAGTATTTTGCTTCAAAGTCTTCCCACAACCCTCTGATCCATTTTGTAGGGAGGAGCTCTTGAGCCTGTCAATATTCACATTCCTGGAATCTCTAGGCACGTTGATAACTGATTCTGTATCATTTTGGGGTGTTCATTACATTTGCCAACCTGTTTTTTTGAAAGGCATTTTGTAGGACCATGTGGGCCAGCCATGCCATTTTGTAGTGGAAATGCAGGTACGTCCCAAATACGTCAGCATAGAACCCAGATAGCAAAAAGGCCTGCGGCAACACCAGCAGCACACTGCAGAGGCACAGTGTAGCGGCAAGGTAGCGGCACCCTGCAGCGGCTCCACCCAAGTTCCCAAGCGCGTACAACACCAGCACCCGGCAGCGGCAGCCCGCAGCGGCGCCAGCGCCAAAGCTCCCAAGCGCACACAGCAGGAGCACTCTGCAGCGGCACCAGCTCCCAAGCGCACATGGCAGCTCGAAAACTCACACGTGCAGCTCTATACTTCAAATACATTCAAATACTTGAAGTAAGAACCCCAATAGCTCCCGCTATCTGGGGGAAAAACCACTCCCACCATGACCATGCAAATTTTATATATGTATAAATTATGAGGTTTAAGGGTCTTGGGGCTTAAGGGTTTTAAGGTTTAAGGACTTAAGGGTTTTAATATTATAGACGTTTGTTCCTTCCGGCCCCTTGTCAATTCAAATCCCGATGGCACGGATACGAACTGTACATTTTACAAATTGTTCTATAACAGGGTTTGGGAGGTTGCACTTGAAACTTCACGAATTATTGGAGAACTACATGTCTTGGATAAGTTTTGATGTCGCGCAGAAAAAAGTTAGGGCGTTCGAGTGATTTGTCGTTCAGTGGCACACTCGCCCACGGGGCGGGATTGATTGCATATCTCCTGTGCAACAGATGATGGATGCAGATGTCGTTTAGAATAGGTCAGGCTCTACCTGACACAGACTAAACGACGGCGACTCGTAACCGGAAAGCCATGGCCTTCGCAAGAAATTCATCCCCAAATTGTTGATAAAACTAATCTCCCGGAAGTGGTCGGCTCAATACCTGTCGGGTTCTTCCTTTCAGTCCCCCACACAAGAGTTTAAGATTTCAGGTTCATTGACTCCGACTGGTTCCAAAACTTCAGCATCCTTCAGCAGAACTAGTGTTTTTTCCGCCAATCACCTATCCAGTCCTGCGCGTCTTCATCCAGTGCCAATGACCATTTTCGGTGTTTCATGATGTTTCATGTTGAAGGGATCCAAGTACCTTCTGAGGTACGGTGATTGGAGACACTGTTATGTCAGGAGGGTCCAGTCCTGCCTCTTGAGAAGGTACGACTGGATCCTTAGGGATGGAATCACTTTTTGGAGAGGAACATTCCCCCATTCAAACCATGTCAAAAAACGGACATGTTTCACCATCCAGTTCGCTGGGGTTGGTCAACCCGTCACGATGACACTTCACCTTGTAGAGGGTTCCTTTCGTAGCTCCAATACAAACCGTCCATGTAAGGAATCGTTACATATATAATTTACTGCAATGAAAATGCCCCCAATGGAACTATCAATTCCAGTCCCATGGAGTGTTTGGGGTATGACTGGACCCGTAGATGGCACCCACCAAAATCCTCCCACCAAAACGGAGGGACGGAGGTGCGACAAGGTTACAAACCTAGCTCGGCTTGGGATGACGCAGCTCAATGACACCGAGCCCTTTTCGGCCGAGCTCCTGGCCTCCCCCTCAGTTTCGCTGAAGGTGGGGGTATTTTGATGGGTGCCAGGGGTTTCCAACCACCGAACCTGAAGATATGGGCCAGGAGTATGGAACCCAATGGGTCTGAATGATGCTTCACACTCACCCCTCTCCGAGCTCAGGCACTTGTACAAGGTCATCGCACCCGAGTTCCTCGCTGTGATGGACGACTCTCTCGTTTTGTCTTTGTTCAGAGGGCTTGGGAGATGGGTTGAGTCGTGTGAGGATCCGTTGCATTGGATGAGGTATCATGGGTTTAGGGTGTTGTTTCCTTTTTCACAATTCTTTTGAGTCTCAAGTGGTGCTTTGGACATGACAGACGCCCTTGAAGACAAATTACGGACAGGCCCCATAGTGACATAGCCCAGCCTGAGAGCAGTAAGCTCAAAGCCGGGCAACCTATGTGCAACGACTTAGGACCACAAAGACGCAGGGTTCTCCCAAAGACACGTTTAAAGGACAGTGCCGGATAGAAGACAAAAGACTGGTGCTGGTTGACGCTATTCTGAAACTCCAGCTGCAAGTGCCGAGGGCTGCAAGCTGGTCTCATCAGCATGTTGCACGTCCTTAGTATTGCATGTTGTTGTGAATATTAATATTTAAATATTGTTAGTTTATGTTAGTAAAGATCATCCATAACTGTGAACTGGAGTGTTTGTGACCGTGACTTCTTCAGGCACTTTGTGATGTCGGAGATCTCAAGTTCGGTCCGGTCCTGGATGAACAGGTGATCGGCCAAATCACCGCTGAACAGGGGTTTTCCGTCTCGACCACACGATCGCGGACCGTCCACGCGGACCTTCCAACCGTTGAAGGGAAGAAACCCTGTACCAGTCATAGATGGCCTTTTAGCCATGGGTTGGTTAATGTTGGTTACATGTTTGCTACCGGTGGTTTTCTCTCACTGTGTGTTTCTCACCGGTGGCTTCACCGCCGAAGTAGTCGGCGCGCTGAGCTTGGCGGCGCTACCCCTAACTGCGTTCAGGCTTCAGGACAGCTTGCTTCGGCCATTGGAGGTGAAGGTGGATGCTCAGGAACCAGCACAAGCACCAACCAAACCACCTCAGGTGGACGAGGAGTGGTCCGATTGTGCTCATGTGGAGGTCTGAGGGTCGGATGGAGTACATCGAAGCCGGAGTCACTGAGTCGGCGATGCTGAGGTCAAGTGACCTGAACTAGGACCCCAAACCTGGGGTACCGAACTGGGAGAGCCGAACTAGGGTTCTGACTCTTCAACCTTTGGGGCGGTGTTTCGGGACGAATTCAATGCCACCGTCGGTGGATCCAACGAAGCCATGGTAGACGTTCGGGTGTGGTTGTTAAGAGCCCCACAGAGTTCCAGGGACTGGTGCGGGAAAGAGTTACGTTATAAACACGACAAGAAAGGCACGACAAGGCTAGAGAAGGGCACGACGAGACAGATGTGTTGTCTTAAATTGATTGTGGAAAGGGCAACAGGAAGTGGACAGATGTTGAATAGAGAAATCAAAAGGACATCAAAGGAATCTCAATCACATGTTGTGTTCTTCCAACTATATAATGTATCGTACCCCATCGTTCATACCAGCATTAGAAAATGCCGGTGGCAACAACCCGTTTTGACATGGCAACCCTCTCACGTACAATCACGTTCTTTCTCATCCAGGTGATCAGTGTGGTCGCTTGCTTGTGCTTTTGCATTGAGTTTTATCAAGTTAAGATGTTGCACCACAAAACATGCAGCACAAGCATGCACCAACCAACAGATATTGGCATTGAGATTCTGGCTCGCATGGGTCGAATGCGCAACTTCAGACATCGTATACAGGAGCCAACTGTGTTTTGTTTTATTGGCTTTGCAAACGATGTTATGGTGTTGGTAAACACGGTACCGTGAAAAAAAAGCGATTGCGGTGGTCAAAACCAAGACAAGGAAACAAGTTCAAATTCAACTATGTTCATTTTGGGATAAATATATTGTGTGTTACGTTTTGGTTCAGTCCACCCCCCAAAGCAATATTCCAGGCTTTGGAAATAGCTTTGGCAAACGTGTGTTTCTTTTTCATCAAAGCTGAACTGATAAGGCAGGACGTCACCATGTTGAACCCGCCAAAGCCAGCCCAAAGCCCCCCTGAAGACCATCTCGCACGAACAACGCGTTTCGAAGGCTTCTCCCTATGGGGCCACTGTTGAGAAGGACCCTTGAGTTCTTTTTTTTTTTTTGTAGCTTTTGGCTCTACGCCTACCAGCAGGTAAAGCCGTTTTCCACTGAAAGTAGAGGCCTGACCTATGCAGTGGTCATTAGTGCTCCCGGTTCCCACGGTGGACCGGCCATGGTCTGGGCTAGTAGCTCCCCTTCGATTAGAGGATGGGCATGCGGTGGAGATCAAGCTCCTGAACATGGACCTGAGTGCTAAGGTCAGTGGCTTCCCGTATGTCACTTGTTCAGGTACCCTTTACCTCGCCGAGGTCACCTTCGATGGAACTAGCATCACTTTGTCAGGCACCGATGACACTAGGTTTGTTCCCGAGGAGCCGATGCAACCTCATGGATGGCACCGAGTGAAAGAACTATGCGCTGGACTTGGCGGCATTGGGTATGGCCTCCAATTTCTCCAGGCTGTGATCTGTGCCTCGGTTGAAATTAATGATCTTGCTTGCTCCCAGCTGGCCCACAACCTCCATGGTGAGATTATCCAGGGTGACATCTGCCAAGATCAGACGATTCTGGCATGCCACTTGGCCGGAGGAACTAGTCCAGCCTTGCTGACTGCTGGTTTCCCCTGCCAACCTTTTTCTAGTCAGGGGGATCAGAAGGCATTCGCTGACGAGAGAACCAAGCCATTTTGGGCCATCCTTCGAGCAACCATCCTCACTAGGGCCACAGGTCTCATTTTAGAGTGTGTTCCACAAGCAGGACGGAACAGTGTCATCATTGACAGCCTTCAGGAGGTTGCACGTCTCCTTCATTGGCAGGTTCACCCGGTTCAGCTGTCTCTCAGTGATGTTTGGCCATCTAGCAGAACACGGTGGTGGTGTCTGCTCCTTCCTCAAGCACTCGGCGACCCGGAGCTACGCAGTTGGCATGCAGATGGTCATGGAGCATGCATCAATAAGGTACTGGAAGACTGGCCTATTTGGGATGAAGCAGATGAGCGTGAACTCGAGCTCACAGCCTTTGAGATTGACAAGTACTTTGATAGCTCTTTGGGGCCTGACCAGCGCATCCTGGACATGAACAAGACCTGTCCTACAGCTTTGCACAGCTATGGCAATGCCCTTCAACACTGCCCTTGCGGCTGTCGTCCACCTTTCCGTGCTGATCGATTGGAACGGGCTGGACTCCGTGGATTTTGTGTCAAGTCAAAGCGTACGGGCAATCTTCGTTTTTTGCACCCCAATGAGCTCAGTTACTTGCTCTCCTACGCACCGGCTGCTGACTTCGTGCGACCTTGTCGAGCCGCACTTTGCCTCCTTGGCCAAATTGCTGCACCAGCTCAAGCTCTATGGGTCTATGCCCATGCTTGTCGTACCTTTGAGATGCATCAGAACGGATTTGCCACTACAGATCCGCAAGCAAGCTTGGACTCTTTCAGGCAACGGCTCAGCTGCCAAAAGCATGACTACTGGACTTTCTCCTCCTCATTGAGTACCAGTGCAGTTGAGCTTGTTGATGCCGATGGGACTGCCATTCCCTGTACTCGCCAGGGACTGACACATGTTGGCCATTTGCTTGCAGCAGAAGAGTCGAGCACCTCATGGGGCTACATGCCCAAGCTTTACGATGGATCCAGATTGGTACCGTCTGATGCTGTCCTCCAACTACAAGGACTCTTTGGCCCCTACGTCCTTCTCCGTGTGGCCAAGGCTCAACCCAAGCCTGCTCCCACTGGTTTGCTGGCCATTGCAATCGACATTCCGGAGCACTTCCACATCGCTTTGGTCCCAGTGGGAACATTCCTGTTTGAGGTGCTTCATGACTTTGGGCTTTCCGGGGTTCCATCGCTGCAGGATGACTTCGGGCATACTCTGCTTCCTGGACATCGACTTTGGCACAGCACGCGTCTGATGCTGTCTGCCTCTGTTGCTGCTCCCATTCTTTCTGTCGCCGACACTCCTTGCCTCAGGCCGGACATTTCTGTGTCTTCGGCCCACAGCCTTGGATTTGGGCAACATGGACTTGGACTTTGCATTGATTTCGTGTGGGATGCTGCACACTTCCTGCTGGATCAGTTTGAACTTTTGTGCCCTGATCGAAGGTCCAACACAAGGATTGGCATTGTCCGAACACATCCTGGTCAAGCCATGTACTTTGACTATGGGGAGAGCTTCATTGCTCGGCCAAGACCGCGGAACACCTACTACTGGATGGTTCTGGAGGATGAGCACTGGTACTTGATTGTCTGCTACTTGGAAGGCTCTCAGTTTGACCCTGTGCACCATGCGGCTACTTTCTACATCTACGATGGACTTCGCCATGGAGTGCTACCGGATAGTGCACAACGCCTCATCCATTTAGTCGAGTGCATGTGGTTCTATCCAGTCGAGGAAGTCTATCATGCAGGCATCTTGGAGCAAACTCGCACCGACTCTTGTGGCACTCTCATGCTTGGCCACCTGGTTCATGCACTTGGGCTCTGTCGTGATCCCTGTTTAGATCACATCGAGGATCTTCACCCAGGCCTCGCATTTCTTTCTGCTGCTTACCCTCTTCAGCGCCTTGGTTTTGGGCCTAGTTCCGCCAACTCAGAAGGACGTCTTCAGCATGAGCTGGAGCTACTCCTGCTTGACAAAGGTGTACCACATGCTCGAGTTGCCGAGAGGGCAGCGATGGCCATCCAGAAGATTGGAGTTGCAGGACTACAGGAGGCCTTGAGCAGGCCTAATGCATGGGCAGCGCTGAAATCACTTGGCAGTCGACCGCACGCGAACTTCATGTTTGTCAAGAGTGATGAGTTGCAGGACAAGATCAGGCAAAGAGCTGCTGCTAAGTTCAAGATTCAGCCGTCTACCAAGAAGGCTAGACAGGGCACCAGTGTGAACTCCAAGCCCTCCTTGCAGGTTGAGCCAGATCATCTCTCGTTGATCCCGGGCACTTTTGCCGCTGATGACAAGGAGGTCTCACAGATTTCCTTTGCAGAAGTTGGACAAGACAAAACCGGCTTGGCCTTTTGTCATGCAGTTGACATCCAGCC